CTGAGTTTGGTTAGTTTAATTTATACAGATCTCGCCGCAGTGATTTTCCAATAATTTTGACTCACACTGTATATATGTTAAAGATTATAAAGCTTATAATTACAAGAATTACAAGTTTAAAAAAATAAACAATAAAATATAATAACTGTCTATTCCTTCAAAGAACATATATATAATACTTTTGTTTATATAATATATATATTTTTATTTCGAAAATAGTCAAGTCACTCTTTTCACCGATCCTCTAACCAACACTCAAAAATGGCATTCAGAAGAAAGTATGTCTTTACTCTTAACAAAACCCATACACTCTCTTTAATACAACTTGACAGACTTTAGCAAGACACCTTTATACTCTTCACTGTTTTATTTATCCCTTCAATAAAATAAAAACAAGAAGGCTCCTTATTTTTTACTCATTTAGCTCTGATGGCAAGAAAGAGTTTTCCAGGAAAGAAAACAGTTTATTTGGTTTTCCTCCTTCTCTTTATTGCCATGATATTAATATCTCTATCAAAAAGGATGTCCTGAAAGATTGTTGGATATTTTGATTTCTAGAAACCTCCATAACATGAGTACAGCTATCTTTCTAGTGTGTTTTCAAAATTCTTTAGTTTTTCTGAAAAATTTTGCCTACCTCAGTTTGATCCTGAATTTTTGATTATACCAGATCTGCTGAGTTTCCATTGGCTGAAAATCTGGATTGGACAACAATAAACATGTAACAGATAAACAAAACAAGATTACGTCCCTACTCATATTACACAATTTTGATGATGTTATATGATTGGATAGGAAGAGCAAAGTGATGAGGCATTTGTTTTGTTTAGTTGAGTTTGGTGCATACCTCTCTACTTCTCCCTTTTCCCCTTTTCTTTATCTTTCCCCACATATATAAAATACAAACAAGGTGGACAGAATATTTTTCCCTCTGGGTTTTTTGATTTTGATCCATGGTTTGTGGAGAGCCACAAACTGCAAACTACTTAGCAAGACTTTCAACATGACTTCCCCTTTCGCAAGAATGATGACTTGCTAGCAATATCCACCATTTTTACCTGTAGTGAAGGTATTTAGTTGGTAATGATTGTCAAAATAGAAGACACCCCTTAAACTGAGTTGAACTTTGAAGAAGTTGCACTCTCTTAAATAAGTAGCCTATGCTTGAAGGCAGGAATTATTTAAAGACTGGATCATCAACTCTGCCATAGGTTTTAAGATATTGAAATACATCCTGGCCAACAAAGTTCCATCCATTTTCCAAATTGTAATTCCCTAGGCAGCCATCCAGATGAGAAAATATTTCAAGTTATTGGCAAGGACAACAGTAGTAGGTTTCCGTTCAAGTATGATAGGATTGTATTTAGAATATGATGGAACTCTATTTCCTTGGGTGCAAGAAATAAGTAACTGAAATCATGTATTTTAGTTAATACAATTATATCCAAAAGGTAATGATAACTAAACCTGAGACCTTGAATAACTGAAATAGGATCAATAAAACTGGCCACTGAAACTATTCCTCTCCTGTCGATGTCATCTTAAAGTCGTTGAAGAAGAAATTCTCCTCTCTTCCTTTTGAAAAAGATTGAGACATAGTACTCCGATGGGTAATCCATTAGGTGTTCAAGAATCTTACTGAAAAAGTTTACAAATTTGAGGCTGGAAGGTGTAAAAAAGTTTGGTTCGTTAGTCTGTTTTTAAATTTTTTGGAATCAATAGTGCCTAACAAAGTCAGTTAGAAAATACTGTTGCTATGCTGATAACAATCCTTATAGTAGAATATAGTTCTTAATGCTATTCAAACAGTTGTATTTTTAAGTTGGTTGAATTTTAGATACATTGAATATCGACAAGAAGATTAATGTATATCTATTTTGATTTGAATAAAGGTGTAAATCACCTGTTAAAATATATATATATATATATACAGTCAAACTTCATTATAATAAATAGGTTGGGACCATAAGGCAAAAATTTTAAAAAATTCGGTATAATGAGATTCAATTAGTAAATCCGATATTATGGGTTAAATTTGCTATAAATGTTTCTATACTTACCTTTGGTATAGCAGGTTTTTACGTAGTCCTTCAGTATAACGAGGTTCAACTATATATATATTTATTTTATTAGAACTCCTAACAATACTATTTCAATATTATTTCAATATCAGTTAAATACTTAAATTTATTATAAATTCATATAAGTGAACTATAATTTATATATGAAATTTACTATAGATTGATATTATTTCAATATTAATTCAATATTTTTTGAAGTCTTATATTTTATATTTGTAATAATTTAATATAATTTAATTATAAGATTAAATAATAAATAAATAAAAAATAAAATTATTTGAAAAATTAATTAATAAAATCAATAATATCTTTTGAAATTTTTACTTATAATCTTATTTTTGAATTTGATTTTTTTATAATATCTTTAAATTCAAATTTATTGAAAAATAATTATTAATATTTTTGTTTATATTTTTAAAGAACATCAATTGTTTATTAAATTATTAATTAAAATAAAAAAATATTTAATTTATAATTTATATCTTTAATTTTTTTGTAAAAAAAATTTTTTTTTTAATAATGATTTGCTTTAAATTAATATTCACTATGTTTTTATACTTTGCAGGATATTAAATATTCATTAAAGCTATTGCTTCTTAATAATTTTATGTGCAAGTGATAAAGTTATTTTAAATGTATAATCATGACTATAATTGAACAAAAGCAACAATGAAGTAATCACCCGATTTACAGATGCGTCAATTTTGGAACACATTATTATTAAAGATCTTTAGCAATTTAAATTTCTACATTATAATTTACCTTTATGCAAAACGCATTCACTTACATAATGATAAATTTTTATACCACAAGCCTTGATTTTTTTATTGGTACGTACAAAAACTTGAGAGTGGAATTTTAAGCGATGTTCAACAATAGTCGATCCCTAAAAGAAAAAACCATGCTACAATTTTACAAAAAAATAGTCTCGAGAAAAAAAATCTCAAAATCCAAATTGAATCGTAAGAAAGAAAAATGTCACAGTAAAAGCATCAATAGATGCTACGGTTGTCAAAACCACTCGTATTACTTCCACTCAAAAAAAAAGTAGCTTCACTCGTTGAGGCATTATAAAGGCATCAAACAGGTGTGTGGTGACACTTTTGTGCATGCTTATACCTATCAATGATATCGTTGTTCATTTTGTATAAATATAAAAATAATAAAAAAAGTAAAAAATAGTTTTTTCATTCATTCTTACCAATAAATCTCAGGAACCAAAACTTCCTTATCCCTCGGCGATTGGTTCAAAATCCATTTGTTGCACTTATGGCACATGGCCTCTTTCATGCCTGTTTTTTTATTAATTCGCTCAGCCGTGGGCTGTGTAAACGGTCGCCCGGTAATTGACGAGATACCATGTTGGTAGTTAAGATGATACCTACGTAACGCATCCAAAAATAATTAGTTACTACATTCTTTTTATTTTTCCCAGGGTCATATTCTTGATGGAACGTATGTATTATATTATTCTTACCAGTAAGCGGAAATTTTCGTTTTAAGCCAACGAGAGGGTTCGCAATGAGGGCAAAGCCCTTCCTTGGATTTTCCAACTCCACGAACCCAACGCGGCGTATACCTGAATAAAAATTTTCATCGATCGTTTACTTACACTCGTGGATAAGTGCGAATTAAAACATTAATTATGAGTAACATACATGTCACCATCAAACCGTGCAGGTTGTCTTGATGCCTCCGGTCCGTTATCTGGTGGCGGTGTCCGATCAAAGTTTCTGCGTATTAAGTCATTCCGATGATTTTTCGCTTCAATTTCCGATCCCTCGCTTGTTAAAATGCTATCATCACTACTTTCGTTATCACCTGACATTGGCGTGTTCGGCATCGCACATTGGTCAGAGCCTTCTTCCTTCTGCGGGACATTACCATTGGTCGATCTTGTCTGATGCGGGGTAAGTTGAGGTGATAACACACCATCTCCATTATCGATGTTACACGTGTTGATATTATGCGATATTGAATTACTCTTTGACGTTCCTTCCTTCTCGTGCATTCTAATCCTTTTGTAATTTCCGATCAAGGTTAAGTTTGGAAATTTTATTCCCGAGTTTTTTTCACCACAATGCTTGCGTTTTGTGGCTGTGGCATTTTTGCATCCGTCACACATCCACTGTTCACCTGTTTTAACATTCTCCTCTTTACCAAAGCATTCAACGTGTTGGACCCTTTGACAGTTGGAACAACTGATCAAGTCCCCACCTTTCTCGGAACATCTCTGACATGCCTCTGATAATAGAGATGCGCTTGACGACACATTATGAACCGAGGATGAAGCTGATGCATCGTCAGTAGTAAAAGGTGGTAATGCGTTTTCAATCAAACTTGAAAGTACGGAAAGGGTCGATTTAGGTAGTAATTTCATAAACAAAGATAATACATTATCCAGATTTATATCTTGCCCTTGTAATTCGTCATTCTGCGTTACTTTTTGCAAAACTTGTAGTACCGGCTTTTCCTGGGCCAGGGGGATCAACGCGAGTTTCAGCTTGTGTAAAGCGCTGTTAAGTTTACGGTTGTCTTTAAGCAGAGAATCGCGTTTATCAAGATGTTTGGTATGCTCGCGGGTCAACCTGGTCACGGATTCTTTAAGCGCATCTGTGACTTGATTTTGTCGTGTGCGTGTGCGTTCAAGATTACGAATAAGATTATTTCGTTCTGGTCATGTAAAAGAATAAGAATGAATTAAAGAATAAGAATGAATTAAAAAATATTATTCCATTAAGATTTTACATTGTTTGATCAAACCAAGTATACAACGTACCCTCATCGAAAGACGTGTATTGACATTCAAATTTCTCCACTGCTATTTCTGTTTCTTCTCGGCTGCCACTTTCGCTGCCATTAAACGAACTGATGTTCATATTTAAACCGATTGGCGATTGATTTAGAGTGGACTCCCCAGAGTTTATAAGGTTTGCACGGGGAGAATCAGGATTCTTATCATGTTGCTGCTGCGTGATCGTGCTGTCTCTTCGGGAGAAATGCGAGTGGACGACTGCAGAATTGTTCTCTGGTCCCGAACTTGATTGCTGAAATTTAGAGGTTCTCACATAAACAATTATCCGATACGAGATTTCATCGGTAAAATTCAATTTAGACAATATTAAGAATAATACACACCAAATGATCTGATGCTTCCAGTAACAAATGTAACGGATTCATTTGAGTAGTCGAACTATCATTTCCTTCGACATTGTTATTGGATGGCTGAATTTAAATAAAAGAATTGGGCATCAAAAAAAAAAAGAAAACCAAGTACTAATGGTCACGTCTATTTTAAAGGTTATCATCACTTACCAGATAGATATCATGTCGCGTGGTTGAAACACATCTTTGACAATACCAGGGGACATTTCTTTCCTGAATTCCGACAATTAAACATGCTTGTGCATAGAATAAACATTATCCAAGGTAAATTAGTGGATACCTTTAAATAATTTATCCCTAAATGTAGAAAGACATACCTGAATGAACATAAACATCGCAGGTGGGCGATGCACAAGAGATCAGGGAACTCAAATCGTGCGGATTTATTGCCGAACGACAAATGTAACAGTAGCATCCGATTTGCCTTTGGTTCTTTAGCATGTGTGATGACAAAAAAAAAAAAAAGATAAATCAACGTGTCAAGACATTCCAGATGGTACAAAAAGAAGTGCTCCTTCCCAAATTGCACGGTAGATCGCACCGATCAACGTAAGTATGCACATAATCCAATCAAGAAATTTCAAATATGACATTATTCTGATCAGGAAATCGAATCGTATGAAACCGCAACGAAAAACAAGTTAACGGTTTCTTGACGGTTGTACACAAGGAACCACGAGCCAATAAACCATGCATGGATGTTTGTATATCATCTACGGGAAAATAATTTATTTTCCGATGTGTAACATAACTCACCCAGAAATTTGTTGGTGGATCGCCATAAATAGTTGTTACGGTTTCTCTGGAATATACTTGGCCAACTACCCTTGTGTACGACTGTTCCACGTTGTTGAACGACAGCATCGTCGTGTTCGCTGAGTATACAGAAGGTGACGGTCTGTTAATATTGAGGTGACAAGGGATAGTTCCGATGTTATTGTTCTTGTCATCTACTCCATTTGTAGCATTAAATGGAGTGACTTTTTTACAAACGTTTACGCCAAAGGTAACAATGAGAGATAAAGATTTAGATATATTTTTAAAAAAATCAAGATCACACAATACGCGTTCACAAAGTGGCCAGTTTTGTCTTCATTTTCTTTTTTGCGATTAAATACCTGTTGAGTTTTCAGAAGACTCTATTGGAAACATGTTATGAGTATTGACACCTTTGCGGATCTTGAATGAAGTGCAAGTTAGTAAGCTTATATGCGTTCGATAATTTTGGAAACTGTGCTCAACGCGTTTAAAAATATGAATAAATATTTTTCAACTAATATGAAAAAAGGGTGAGATACCACTCAGGTTATCCTTTTAATGGGAGAGGAAATGGGAAAATCAAACGGGAAGTTTCAAAAAAAAAAAAAAAGAAAAAGAAAAAAAAAAAAAAAAAAACTAAAAGTTTGATCAATAAAGCATAGCTTTATATCAAGTTACCAAACAATGGCAGCCGCACATGCAATCAAGTCCGAAAAAAGCGTGATGATTGATTAATGTATTATTATTTCGGGGGGGATTAAGAGCCTAGGGGTGGTGAGAGAGCTTGTTGGGAGAGATGGATGCTTTATTGAGTTATATTTATCAATAATCATCAACATTCGAACAGATAAGTTGACTGATATAAAAATATGCTACGGACTTTTAAAAATTACCGAAGGAGAAGACGCTAGCATGTCATAACACAAATCAACTTACCATATATACACACATATATACATATATATATTATAACTTGAGCGTAGTTAAAGTAATAACAAATTCAATGAAAAAAAAATTCTCGTATCGTCATCGGAGGTTCAATGAGCCTCATAGAATTTTTGCTATTTTTCACCATTTTTATACGTCAGCGCATGATCCACCCATTACTATTCCTTAACACATAGGAGTCTAGAGTATTTTCTATTGATGTAATTTTATAGTGTTGTCGAATACTTTAAGGGTAGTCTTAATTACACTCCGTTGACAAGTTGACGCGAGGAGGCATTGATGCATTGACTTCAAATTCACCTTGCAATTCTCTCTTTCAATGCTCCCTTTCAATGCTCCCTCTGTTTCAACGATGTAAAATGTTTCGCACTCGCGTCAACGCTTATGAAATTTTTACACCAACATTACGTACTTAATAAGTGTGGATTGATGCAAAAATGTGCCTGCCGTTGACCAATCACCTAGTTGAGTTAATGCAATCTACACGTATGAGTGTAAGTACGCACATGAGATTGCACCGCAAACAATTATTAAAGATCCGTCGACTCCGGTTGCTCGATTCATACAAACCTTTGTCCTCATTAAAATAAAAAGCGTGCCTGCATTGTATTTTTTTTTTCCTTTACTTTGCATTACTAATGAATTCATTCATTGGGATGACAATGTTAACTTTCCATTATTTCCACGCTTTTTATCTTGTTAATGACAGAAGAGAATGTCTTTGCACTCTACATTATCTCTAAAGAAATCTCGTCACATCTCACGTGTTGTAATTTTGATCTCAAGAAGTTCTATGCCGGTGCAATAAATAAAAATATATTCGTTATTATGTATACTTTGAGCATAATATGAACTTTTTTTTCTTGAATGTTATTTATACTTTGTTCACGAGTAAGATTAAGGTTTAATTTCCTACATCATGTATACGTTGTATAATGCATTTATGAAATAATATGATTTGCATCCAATGAATGTATGTCATTTGATGTATTTTTTTATTTTACATATTATAATTTTTTATGAAAAACGATTTGTAATCAATTCGTAATCAAGAGGTACTGTTTAGCATAAATGTACTTTATCTTAATAAAATATGAATCTGCGAAATTGAAATGGTCAAAGCTTTTTCTTTTTTTTTCTGTATTACAATACTTTTGAACGTGTTAGAGGTTCAATTGATCAGAAGAATTGCATTGTTAATTTTAATACCAAATCAATTTTTTATAAAAAACCATTTTAAAATAACATGCTTAAGTTGCACTAATAGAAATTTATTTAGTATATACAGTATATAGTATATAACATATTATCAGTATATTATTATTTATTTATTTATATATTTATTAAAGAAAAATATTGAATAATTTTAAAGTTTATAAATTTATATAAGATGATAATAATTAAAAACTTTATATTAAATATAAATAAATAAATATTTATGGTTATATTTTATTTATATATATAATTATAAAAAATCTCTTTTTAAATAATTTTTTTTAATTTTTTTTTTCTGCAATTAGGCTAGTATCATTTATTTATTTTAATCAATAACTGAATTATTACAAGTATGAGAATGCCTATAAAGTAAAAATTTTCTTGACCTAACTCACCTATTAACAGCTAAAGTCTCTAAATGCAATTTATGAAAGTGAAATGTTGTTCTTCTATTAAAATAAATTAAGATCCCAATACTTCAATAGAATTATAACCTGCAGATCACCTCTATAATCATGATTATAAATTCAAATTATGTCATCTCCTCTTATAGAAACTATGTAATAAAAAAAAAAAATTAAAAAAAAAATAGAAAAGAAAAAATAGTACAATTATGTATATAAGAAGTAATTAAAAAAAAAGATGAAAAAAACTATTATCTATTCTAACTATCATTAAAAAGATTATCTCACACTAGTTGAAATGGATTTATTCAGCATTATGCCACTCGTCAATTATTCATCAAAAAAGTATATAATTCGGCCAATCAAAATTATATAACTTTTATCTTCGGCTATAAAGCGGCGTATAATTTATTCGGCACATAAATGGTACACTTTTT